GTTCTGTGGGACATGGGCTCCTTCATACAGAAATGAGGACCTGAAGAAATGGTTGTACCTGAGGATTTTAATACAAGGTTTGATGAAGAGTGGGTGGTAGTGTAGAAATCTAATAGGCAAAGGATATAAGGTAAGTGTAATCAATGTTGGGAAACTTGGCAAGGCATGTTTGTTTGGATTCTTCTGAAAATTCCCATCTTGGAGATAAGGTTGGTACCTTCCTTCTGGTATGCAGAGAGCACTCCTTAAAAGGCAGTCTTATGACCTGCTTCAGGCAAGAAGGGGAGGAGAAGGTCAGAGAACTTCCCGCTTCTGCCATTTTCTCAAACTCTTTCAGCTTAAAAATATTCAATATGCCATGGTGCCATATTTTGGACTACTGTGCTCTGAATCCTGTTGGTGGGTTGTTAAACAGACATTATTAAATATTAAATTATATAAACTTATAATTAAATAAACTATATTTAAAAAGGTAATCGTTGGGGCCCCTGGCTGGCTCAGCTGGTTAAGTGTCTGCCTTTGGCTCAGGTCATGATCCCAGGCTCTTGGGTTTGAGCCCCATGTCAGGCTCTCTGCTCAGTGGAGAGCTTGCTTCTCCCTCTCCCTGCTGCTCCCCCTGCTTATACTTTCTCTCTGTCAAATAAATAAATAAATAAAATCTTTTTCTAAAAAAAGGTAATAGGTATTCAAAATTCATCCCTTTTTAATTACTACATTAACCCTTAACTGTGTTCTTTTTTTTTTTTTTTTAAGGTTTATTTATTTTAGAGGGAGAGAGAGAGAACAAGTGGGAAGATGGACAGAGGGAGAGAATCTTCAAGCTGACTCCCCGATGGCTTCGGAGCCCCATGTGGGGCTCGATCTCATGACCCATGAGATCATGACCTGAGCCGAAACCAAGAGTCCCTTGCTTAACTGACTGCACCACCCAGGCGCCCCTGTATTCGTTTAAAGAAAGATTTTTTTAATTTGAGTATAGTTGACACACAGTGTTACATTAGTTTCATGTGTACAACATTGTGATTTAGCTTCTCCATGTGTTATGCTGTGCTCCTTACAAGCGTAGCTATCTTTTGCCACCATACATTGCTTTTCCAGTATCATTGACTGTATTCCCTGTGCTGTGCCTTTTATTACTGAGTAAGGGACAGGTGGGGCTAGGTAGGGAGGGAGAGATAGGGGGCTATGTGATCAGGCTCACAGAAATCCCCAAAACGTGGATGTGTGGGGAAACCAGAGATAAGGGGACAAATTGCACCACCCTACCCCAGGCGTGTGGGGCAGGTGTCTTTTTATGATAATCACCTGTGACCAACAAAGAATAACCAGACCCTAAAAAAAAGGAAGTAAGTCATTGAAGGTGTTATCACTAGTCCTTGCTCAATGGTGATATCAATAGAAGTATTAAAAGGATTTAAGTTCCCTGTTTAGCTTTCTATAAAAGACCAACCCTAAAGGCCCTCAGTGGCAACCCTGTCGGGACTCTTACTCTTGAGAGCTTTTTCTGTGTCTTCACTTAAACTTCTATCGCTTTACTCACTCTCCGTTGTCAACGAGATTCATTCTTTTTTTTTTTTTTAAATAGTTTTTTGGTTTTTTTTTAAGATTTTATTTATTTATTTGAGAGAGAGAGAATGAGAGATAGAGAGCACGAGAGGGAAGAGGGTCAGAGGGAGAAGCAGACTCCCCACTGTGCAGGGAGCCCGATGTGGGCCTCAATGCCGGGACTCCAGGATCATGACCTGAGCCGAAGGCAGTCGCTTAACCAACTGAGCCACCCAGGCGCCCACGAGATTCGTTCTTCGACTCCGTCAGACAAGAACCTAGCTCTCCCACTTCATGACCGTGACTAATTCACTGGAAGCCTATTATCTCCCATTCCCCTTCACCCATTTTGCCCATCCAACCACCCCCCTTTGCTCTGGCAACCATCAATTGGTTTTCTGTATTTATAGGTCTGCTTCTGCTTTTTATTTGTTTATTCATTATTTTTTACATCCCACATATGAGTGAAATCATATGGTATTTGTCTTTCTCCGTCTGACCTGTTTCACTTAGCATAATGCTCTCTAGTTCCATCCATGTTGTCTCAAATGCCACAATCTCATCTTTTTTTATGGCTGTGGAATATTCCATTACATATATGTTGCAGGATTTCTTTTCCTTTAGTACCTGTGGTTTTTGGTCACGCCGCTTCAAAGAATGAAGAGGTAAACCAGACAAAGAGTGGTGGGCAGCAAAACAAAATTTATTGAGCGATAGTACAAAGCTCCTGAAGAGGGAGGGGACCCGACAGGGTTGCTTGTTTGACGTTTAAATCTAGGGGTTTTATGGGCTCTCTGGTGTGGGCTGTTTTAATCTGATTAACCCTCCACGTGCCTGTCATCCAATCAGGTTTTTGTCCACACGCTCATCTACCTATCAGGGAGTTGTTCCCATGGGAAAGGGTGGAGGGCTCTTTCTAGGGTGGTGTTCTGGGACCACGGCCATAAAGCATGCCAGCCAGCTACAGGCCGCCAGATCAAGCTCTTTGTTTAAATTCCCAACTGGCCGGGGGTGCCTGGGTGGCTCAGTCGGTTAAGTGTGTCTGCTTTTGGCTCAGGTCATGATCCCGGGGTCCAGGGATTGAGCCCCACATCGGGCTCCCTGCTTTCCCCTCCTCAAATAAATATATAAAATCTTAAAAAAAAAAAAATCCCACTGGCTTTTGAGCTGGACCTCTGGGCCTGGGTTAGGACACCCAAGGCCATTCCCTTCCTTTCTGTTATAGACAAGCTGTAAGTCCTCCCAGTAGGAGGACTTCAAGCTGGGGCATTGAGTAGAGACTAGAATAACAGGATGGGGTCTTTTTCCTTCTAAGGGTAGTTTCCTCTTAGGGTGGGGGAGAGGCCCTTGTCCCTGCTTGCCTTTCTTCTAACTACCCTTTGTTATATATGTATACATATATGTATATATATATGTGTGTGTATACACACAATATCTTCCTTATCCATTTGTCTATTGATGAGCACTTAGGTTGCTTCCATATATTGGTTATTATAAATAATGTTACAATAAACATAGGGGGGCATATATCTTTTTCAGTTAGTGTTTTCATTTTCTTTGGGTAAATACTTAATAGTGTTGAATTATTGAATCATATGGTAGTTCTATTTTTAACTTTTTGAGTAACATTCGTACTGTTTTCCACAGTGGCTGCACCAATTTACATTCGTACCAAGAGTGCATGTACCATACTGTTTTGATTATGATAGCTTTGTAGTATATCTTGAAATCTAGAATTTGTGATACCTCCAGCTTTGTTCCTTCTCAAGGTTGCATTAGCTCCATTAACTACGTTCTTGCAGTCATGTCTACTACAGTGGCGCATTTTTTTTAAAGATTTTATTTATTTATTTGTCAGAGACAGACAAAGAGAGAGCGTACAAGCAGGAGAAGCAGCAGAGGGAGAAGCAGGCTTCCCGCTGAGCAGGGAGCCCGATGCGGGACTCAATCCCAGGACCCTGGGATTATGACCTGAGCCGAAGGCAGACGCTTAATGACTGAGCCACCCAGGCGCCCACAGTGGTGCATTTTTGCGCATGTCTTTCCCCCTCCATGGTTAGTGACATCACTTTGGTAGTTTGAAATTGGCTATGGTGGGAGTACTGACACAACAGAGACTGCAATCATTAGACATCAGGGACTTGTTTTGGTGGTTTTTTAGAAGGATAGCTGTTTGTTAACCATTTGCGAGTCCACTGCTCTATTCAGTGGACCAGTGGTGAGATGGCCTTGAATTAAGCATGGCAGTTCACAGGAACAGGAGAGAAGGCAGGGCATTTGGACAGATGAATAGACAGATGTGGTAGAGAGAGGTTTCCTAATCACTAAGTAAAAAAGGAAGCAAGGAAGTCATCTGAGAATAAGGCTGGGAAGGAAGTGTTGGGGGTTTGAGGTGAGAAGATTATGGGACAGTTAGTGGATGAGAGAAATGTAGGTTTTTGTTTTTTTTTTTTTTGTCTAGCACCATTAAAAGGCCCCTTGAGGTTAGTGGTTATGAATTTAAAATGAGGCCTGTTAGGATGGGTGTATATTTGTCTCTAGTCTCTTGCCGCGGCGGGAGTGAAGCCCTGAGTAATGGGGAGCTGGATTTACCCCAGTGTATGGTTTTGCAATCCCAGGATGACTTTGTGTGTCAGTAGCAAGCAAGATTATAAAATTATAAATGTGGAAGTCACCACCTCTGAGACCTTTCTCATTCATTCTAGCTAAAATCAGGCCCCACCCCCATACCTTTAATCCATTATCCTGTTTGTTTTCCTATTTTGTTTATTGGATGTCAAATCACCTGGCTGACCCATCGTACCTGCCAGCAGGGACCATGCTTTATTTGCTACTGAATGTGCAGTGCCTACCACAGTGCTTGGCACAGAGTAACGCTCAGTAAGTGATACGTTGAATAACTTATTGAATAAATGGATTCACTTGCTCGTTCTTGCAAAATCTGTACAGTCCAGTGAAAAGTATTCAAATTATTTTCCTGTCCCTTTGTTCCTTGCTCCTTGGTGTTTCAACTTTGAGGGGCACAGGAATTTCCTTACAGGGTCGGATATGCTAAGCCATGGTTATTTCCTGAACACTCCCAGGGCATATAGGCAATTTTTCCTAGAGGCCCAACTTATAGCTTTTTGAGGCAGCGGCCCAGGTCGTCTGTGTCATGCAGTTGCTGACCTTTGTCACATGGGACGCAGCAACACGGAGGAGGGTTATATTACAACCCAAACTTGGAGGGCGGGTAGTTTCCGTATTTATGATCACTTTTCTTAGGGCTGCTGAGTTCGAAGCTCAGGCGAGGTGACGACAGAAGAGCACGCGTCCGGAGGTCCAGGCTGCAGAGCGCGGGGCGGGCCCCTCCAGACGCCCGCAGGGCCCAGACCTCCGGAGCCGCGCCCGGGCCTCCCGCCGCCCACACACCGCGGGGGCGGAAGGGGGCGGGGCGCGACCGCCTGTCTGTCCTCCGGGAGGACAATAAAGTTTCGAAAGTTTGAAAAGGGAGGGAAAAAACCTCCCACGCCCCTTTGGCCCGGCGGGTTTGGAAGCCTGCGGCCGCGGCACAACCCGGCCCCTGGCGTGCGGGGATGGGGGTCACGGTGGACGTGCGCCAGGTATACAAGTACCCCTTCGAGCAGGTGGTCGCCAGCTTCCTCCGCAAGGTACCCGCCCGCTCCGGCCCGGGCCGCGCTCGCGTTCCCCCGGGCCGCCCCGACCCCCCGCCCAGCTGTCCGCGCTCCGGGGCGCCCGCCGCCTGCCGCCTGCCCCTGTTCCTTCCCCTGCCCCCGCGGGGTCCGCGCCCGCGCTCTCGCGCCCCAGCTGCGGGTTTGGCCTCGGGATGTGCGGGGGCGGGGGCGGGGGTGGATTTCCTCGAAGGCTTCCTACCCCTCCCTGGTATGAGGGGAAGGCACCGTGCGCGGCAGCACGTTCACACCCTGCCCCACAGTTGTGGGGAATACAAGTTCTGGAGCCTGGTTGAAGTTGCACGTGACTTGTCGATCTTTCTAGTACATCGTGGACCCCCGCCATAAAAGCCAGTGGGAGCCGTGGAACCGATCACCCTAGTTTACTCAGCTTTGTCGTTCTACCACCTCGCTACTTTCTTTTTTATGAAACGGCTGCGGGACTTGGGTAGTTTACCCTCTCTGTGCCTTCGTTTTTTGATCTGTGAAATGGGGGAAATGAAAGTACTAACGCCAAGGGCTGGTTGTGAGGAATCAAGTGAGATAGGTCACGTAAGTGCTTAGACTGAAATGTTATAGTTGTTTGTATTACTATACCTGCACCCGAGGCTCAATATTCAGTGGTCCTCTATCCCAGGGGCGCCTCCTAGGACTATGCTCGTGGTAGAAGAATCGGAAATTTCTTTGAGAAATCGAGAGCACCCAGGCCTGGGAGCTGAGACTCCTGAACTGTAGTCTTGTCTCTGCCTTTAGTTACTTCATTTGGTCAAGGGTCATCTTCTCTTCAGTCCTCGCTTTCTGCATCTAAGATAAGAGCCTTGTATCAGAAGGTATTTTAGGTTCCCCTTCAGCTTTCACTTTTTAAAGCAAGATTTGCAAGAATTGTAGTTTGTCTGGGCAGCGGCCACCAGACAATGTGCTCCATATATAACCCAGAAGCAAAACAGAGATGCTGGGAGAGGAAGTCAGTTTTTTAAGTGATAAGACCGGACCCCCATTAGAGGAGGTGATGCGGTTGGGGACCCAGTCACAAGGATTGGTTAGGACGCTGGTTAACATGGTGTTGCCATAGAGGCTTTTTTTTCCTTCTTTTTCAGGAGAATGTCAGTTTGTTGATATTTTTCATTGATCTTCCGTATCTAGAATGGTGCCTACCACCTAGTAGGTGCTCAGTAAAAACTGGTAAATGATGAATGAATAAATGAATGAAAGAATGAATTGTGGATCTGGTGGAGACTTTGCCTTAGGCCAGACTTCCGGGCCCAAAGGAGAAACAGTCAACACTCTGTTTTTTAAAAAACTTTTTTAAAAATTTAATTTGATTTAATTTTATTATGTTAGTCACCATACAGTACATCATTAGTTTTTGACGTAGTGATCCACGATTCATTGTGTTCGTCTAACACCCAGTGCTCCATGCACTGACGTGCCCTCCTTAATACCCATCACCGGGCTAACCCATCCCCCCACCCCACTCTCCTCTAGAACCTCAGTTTGTTTCTCGGAATCCATAGTCTCTCATGGTTCATCTCCCCCTCCGATTCCCCCTCTTCATTTTTCCCTTCCTTCTCCTAATGTCCTCCATGCTATTCCTTATGTTCCACAAGTAAGTGAAACCATATGATAATTGACTTTCTCTGCTTGACTTAATTCATTTAGCATAATCTCCCCCAGTCCCATCCATGTTGATGTAAAAGTTGGGTATTCATCCTTTCTGATGGCTGAGTAATAGTCCATTGTATATATGAACCACATCTTCTTTATCCGTTCACCTGTTGAAGGGCATCTCGGCTCTTTCCACAGTTTGGCTATTGCAGACATTGCTGCTGTGAACATTGGGGTGCATGTGCCCCTTCTTTTCACTACATTTAACACTCCATTTTTTATTAGGTCTGGCAGTCTGGAGGGTGGATTCTCTGTCACTGCTCCCTTGGAATGCCTTTCTGGATTATCCTTATCAAGAGCTGATCTCTGTCTTGTCAGAACTGGAGGAGCACTTGACCTAGGCATCACTGACTATCTTCTGCAGTGTTGGGTAGTTACTTCTGCACATACCTTTTTCCCTCATGAGACCCTAAACTTCTTGGGGGCAGGACTCATTCCTGCAGAAGCGCATAGCTCAATGCCAAGCTCTCTTTTTGAGGGTACTTGGCATGTGGTCATGCTTCTGGGCAAAATGCTTTTCTTTCATTCAACAGGTGTTTAGAGATACTTTTCTTCTGTGTGCCAGGCTCGGGGCTAGGGCCCAGCAGATAGACCCTCTTCTCACAGAGCTGATGGTCTCTAGTGGGGGAGACTGATGTTAAGAAATGAACAACTAATGAACACATACTTAAAATTGATGATGTGTATTTACACAGAGAAAGTTCATATTGCTGGGACCAAATATAGCAGGGAAGGCCTGCTAAAGTCCCCCAAGGTGGCCATTAGGAAATCCTTTCTTGAAAAAGTGGCCTTTGTCAAATGATGGCTGAAGTGTGAATAGGAGTTTCTTAGGGAAGAAGGGAGGAGGAGGGAGAGTGCTTTCATACATTATCCTGTTTACTCTGTCCAGCAGCTGCAGGAAGGACTTAGGACCGATTTCCATTTCACTACCTAGAGAAACTGAGGTTCAGAGAAGTTTAAACAACTTTTCCAAGTTCCCACAGCCAGCAGTTGGGAGATCCAGGATTTCAGCACATCCAAAGTCTCAACCCCTAGTCCCCAGGCTGTGCTGCCTGCCACATAATAGGCACTCAGATGATTATTGAGGGAATAAAACGTTCCAGAATCATCTTTGCTGTGCTCTTTATCCAATCTCAGTTTTCTTTTGTCTAGTCTTCTCTCACAGTTTATTTATCTTGCACCCTTTGTGCCTGATGTAAGGGTATAGTAGGGGATGTGTGCTAAGGTGAGAAAATACAGTGTTTCAGTTTTCTGTTGCTCTGTAACAAATCGCCCCTGTGATTTAGTGGATTAAACCAATGGTAGACGTTTGGGTCTCACGATTCTGTGGGTTGACTGGGCACAGCTGACTGGTTTTGTGTGCATATGTTACAGCTGAGGTCATTTATAGAGCTGCATTCAGTTACAATGTGTTAGAATTCTTATAAAACACTTAGTCAAGTGCCTGACACATAGTAAATAGGATATTTTGGAAGGCAGGGCTAGGGAAAGAATATTTTCAGAAAAGGCCTAGCAGTGGGACAATGCAAACACTATGGGTGACACCACACTTCCGTTATTTTTATTCACAAAGCAATGCCTCAGAGGGGCTGTGTGACTCAATAAATTATGAGATGTCAGTAGATCCACTTGCTGTGAGCATTTCACCTTACATTTCTTCAAGCCATGAACTGGAAGTCAATAGATCTGGTTTCTGATCATTGTGCTTTCCCCATTCAAAGCAGTTTTTGGGTGGCCTTGGGACATGGTTTTCGCCAGTCTGTACTGTGCCCATGTGCAAATTAGAGGCCTCATCTAGATGGTGGACTCCACAAGCTCACAGTCAGTGGGGCTAGTGGAAAGGAAATGGGGCTATTTATGCAAATTAGCAAGAGGGGCTGTTACCCACTCAGGCTCTTGAGCTGTCTAAGCCCTAGAAATGCAGACTGAACGGAAGTTCCAGGCAAGGCTTTATCAGGGCTTAATGTTCCAGTACAGGGGAGACAGAATAAAGATTCTGCAGTCTGGCTCCCCAAGGAGAGGTCTCAGAGAGTTTTAAGGAGGCTTAGGCTGAAAAAGGGTGGTCAGTGGGGTCCACCTTGGCTTAGATTGGTTTGGTTTTCACAGCCAAGCATTCCTTTTAGGCGCTGGAGGGTTTGCACAGTGTCTGAAGGGGATCAGACTGGTTGAAATCTGGGTGAGGGGTTCTTGTTTGGAGCTTGTGGCTCCTGGCATCTGTCTTTAGTTTCTGATGGCAAGCAACATCTGCTCGCAGGGCTAGAAAACTGGGTTATTGTGGTTTGTTAGCCAGTTCCTGGGTGTGGGGACCCAAGTCTGGTTGCTGCTCTGTTTCAGCACTCCTTCCACTAGGTGGCTGGGTGGCCCTGTGCCCCCTGGCCTCCTTGACCAGAAGACCTTTTGCAGTGAGCAACATGCACAACTGTACATGACAACTCTACTGTCTTCATTTCGTGTCTGTGAAACAATAATGCCATGTACCTCATCTCCCAGGATTGTTGTGAGGATCAAATGTGTAAGAGTTTGCAAGCATAAGCTTTTTATAAGTATAAGGTAGTAAGAATGATCTTTGTGGCTAAATATACTTTTATTTTTCTTTTAGTCTTTATGTATTTTTTTCAAAGGAAGGCACTTGGCAGAAGGGACAATCATATGAGGATCTCTGAAAGCATTTAATCTGATTTTGCACAATGGTATGTTTGAAGCTGTTTCAGCACTGAGGATGTTCTATTTTAAACAGAGTCTACTGATCTACGTCTTTTGGTATGTTAGGACTTGCCTTCCAAGTTATTATATACTACTATTTTTAAAACCTGAGGAATGTTTGCTCTTCTTACACCTGCCTGTTGGATACCACAGGCAAAATATTAGCTACATGCGTTCAAAGCTAAGTGGCACCTTGAAAACACACCACAGAACTCTTTGTTCATGGAATATAGTGTTTCTCAATGAACCCTTCATGGAGGAATGCTGTGAGACCCAAAATGGTTTATTCATCAGATGCTAAACTGTAGTTTCCATGCACTGTATCGTCAGTGCACCTGACAGTGCATTTAGGCTGCTTTCTTTGTATGACTCTTAGCTTTCTAGCTCCTATCACTTACAGCTCTTTCCTTCCTTTTACATAAAACCACCCACAAAGAGCAGACAGGGTTGCCTGGCTGCAGGCTAGAAGCTCACTCATCTATTCAAGCCCACATGGATCTGTTTACTGGGCTTGCATTCATGAGCTGGATTCAAACACTCCTTCAGTTTTTCTACCTAAAATTTAAAGTCATTGAAAAGGACTCAGAGGGCCCTTATGTTGACTGGATTTT